AATCATGCTGTTTCCAGGAGCCTGCTGAAATACTTGGGGTTGCATCAGAGTTAGTTTGTCCTCTTGCTGTTAGCATTCAATGGAAAAGCTGGCCAGCAACGAGTTGTCTTATAGACTTATGTCTGTGATTTATAGCTATTATAATTTAAATAATAGATACTGAGGCATCAATTCCTCTTTTAGTGGTCACTTTTTTAATGGCATGTAAAGCTTTATAAGAGGCGAGGCTAGCACTCAGCTGTTGGAGACGGGTGAGGGTGGGAGATTTAGTGATCCCTGAAGGGGTTCTCAGAGTTCAGGGAAAGGGGCAGCCGCTCTCAGCGCTGCTGTGACTGCTCTTGCTTGGGACGGCACTTGGGTTTGCAGCTTTCTGCTCCATGCCAATCTCTCCGGGATGAATTGTGCTGAATTCCTGTGCGCGGCTCAGGCCCCAGGAGCCTTGTCTTATGCCCTAACCCTGGTCTGCATTTGACCTTTGGAAGAGTCTGATGCTCCATGGCTGAGCTGTCGCATGATCGTGTGCCTCTTGTGACCCAGCTCATGTCAAAAGGATGATCTTGCTTGTCACCCGCAGGAAAATCTGCAAGTCATGCAAATGCAGCCAGGAGGATCACAGCCTGAGCTCAGACGTGGAGGATGATCGGAAAATTGGGCGCCTGCTGACGGACTCCAAGTATGCCACGCTCACCGCCCGGGTGAAAGGAGGTGACGGCATCCGCATTTACAAAAGGAACCGCATGATCATCACCAACCCCATCGTCTCTAGGAAGGACCCCACCTTCGACACCATCACGTATGAGTGGGCTCCCCCGGGGCTCACCCAGAAGCTGGTAAGACAATCCATGGCGTGTTTGGCTGGTAGTTGTCACTTAATGGAGAACATAGCTCGACTCTGGAATAAACTTATCAGGAGAAATAGTAAAACATATGGTTTGCCTCGGAGAGCAAAAATGTACATAACACTCTGTATTTTGGAAAACTCTGTAAATAACCAGAGTAGGTAGGAGAGAGGAGTGGATTGCTTTTAGGTTTTTATAGGTTTGCTTACATTTCTAGGAGAAGTCTTAATGGGTTTTACAACTAAAAAGTTCGCTACTTTGGTAAAGCTGATGTCCAATAAAAACATTGCTGAGGAGAGATCCCATCTCCACCGTCCTGCCAGTTATACAACGCCCGTGCAGCCCACGCAGGCGTTTGCACGCTCCAAAACCCCAGGCTGGATGTGGGAGCGATTCCTCCAGACCTTCTTGGGGTGGCTGGGCTGAACTTGCTCCTCTCCCAAAACGCCCCCAGGAGGGCACAAAGGAGGCAGAAGGCTGTTAAAGCCGTGGGATGTGTGCAAGGACAGGAGCTAACTCCAGACCTGTCTCCACGCTTCTAAAGTGACATGGGTCTGGACTGGGCTTCTGGGAGCAGCAGTGGAGACAAGCTTTTTGGGTGGCTTATTTGGGTAGGAGGAGCTGCCCTGGGCTCTGACATCCCTCCTGGGGAGGGTGTCCGCATCCTGCCCTGCTTGTTGAGTCTGATCTCTTGGAAATCTGGGCTTGAGCCTGTCCTGAACCAGCCAGCATGGGTGCAGGTACCAGCTGGGACACTTCCACTTGTCTGGAGGTTTCTTCAGGAAATTATACTTCAGTCTGTCTCAAAAGCAGGGAAATTAAATGAATGTGGAAAGAAATAATGCTGCACCTAAATAGTGCTGTGTTTGTAAATTATTGTTATGGAAATGGGCTTTAATGATAATGGCAAAATAACTGTCATCTTTCATATAGTAATTTTTTTTTGCTTAGGTAGTCATTACAATCTTGGACTTAAAGTAGGCCTGGCATCTCCAGGTTTATTTTAAGCAGGAGTGCAACTAGTGCTCACCTGTGCCTCTGCAAATCAGAGGGCCCTGACCCCCCCCAAACACAGCCCTGGTTCCTTTGAATGCGGCATCGCCTCAGCCCGGGCTGAGCGGCCGCTGAACGCTGCGGCAGAGCCAAGCCAGCGCTGACTTCGTGCCTTAACCCCTTTGTAAGGCTCTCGTCTTTAACTTCGGCTCGGATTTGCTGGACGAGCGGAGGAGGGGGAAGGGGGTTTAAACTCTCCTTGTGGTGGGCAGTAAGGCTATGGCAGGGGGCTCCTGCCTGTGGGGTCCGCTGCTGCCTGAGGAACCCCCCAGATCCAGCACTGGAGCTGGGGTTCTTCCTCACAGCTAAGCGTAGTGTGGTCCAGATACAGAACCTAGGGAGAAATGTTTCCGAAGAGAACTCGGGATAAAAAAGGGAGATGGGGAGTGTGGTGCCATGCCAAGGGCTGGATCCAAAACCAAGCCCCCAACCCCACCTTCCCTCCCGCTTTCCTTCCAGGCGAGCGATACTGCTGTGTGGGAACGAATGGAAGTGGGGTGTGGGGAAGTGTTAGTGAGCAGAGCGCTTCTGGAGGGAAAGCATTGAGCTCTGTTGTGGTACTAAAACCACCACATATTACACTGTCATTAGTGGACAGCTTTTGTTCTTCAAATTAAACAAATAGCTTAAAGCTGCTGAAAATTGCAACCAGATTTTTTTAAGGAAGAATTGGGGAAACAAATGTGAAATTGCAGCTGCAGACCTGAGGCAGACTGATTACCTCTTAAAACTGAGCTGCCATCACCCCCTGACCGGGGGTGGCATGTGGCCTGTGCTGGGGGTGCAGCTGGGGCTCTGGTGCTGACAGGACAGACCAGTGGGCTGTAAGGAGGGACCGAGGCCCCGGCGTATCCAGCTCCCCGGTGTGCGATCCCAGCGCTGCTGCTCGCAGCCTTTCCCTTCCCTCTGTGGGGGCTGGCCCGGCAGGAATGTTTGTTTAACCAGTGTTTGCCTTCCGCAGGTCCTGTGGGGACTCGGGGAGCTCGTGAGGGCTGGGGAGAACAATGCTGGCACTCTCCGGCCCAGCCGGGGCCATTAAGCATGCTGCCCAGCCCCATGTTTATCAGAAACCGGGTGTCGCTGCTCGGCAAGCTGGCCGCAGTGATGCTGCGAAAGGTGCCCAAACCCTGCGGCTCCTGGGCCGCTGTCATCTTCTGTGGGCCTGAACCCCGGCTGCACCACCGTGCCAGTGTGCATTTGGGGTGATCCGTGGGGGGCACAGGGAGCCTGGCGGTCCCCCCCGCCCGCAGCAGCAAACCGGGTCCCTGCAGCTCGGGGGTGTGTGCTTTGGGAAAGCTTTGGGAACTCTTCACAGTGCCCGAACAGACTGCAGGATGACTTGGTTCAATAAACAACGTGCAGCAGCTTTGAAGACAACCTTGATAAATTTTGGCTCGAAGAGCGACTTGACAAAGTTTTAGGAGAGGTGCTGGATGGCAGCCATTCTCGGGATCGTGCAAAGGGGATTTGGGCCAAAAAGCTTTTAGTGCATAACTGCCTCACTCCAGTGATT